TCTTGGCTGAACAGTGTTAAGCTCCACATTTGCCTCCTCCCACCCTGCTTCATCAAACCTATTGATTTATTCCTTTTGCCCTCACATACTTATCTAACTTCCCTTTAAACACAAGAGTTATACAACATGGAAGCAGACCCTTTGGTCAAACTTGTCTGCACAGACCAGATATCCTAAAATGATCTAGTCCCATTTGCCAGCATTTAGCTCATATCCCTCTAAACCCCTCCTGTTGATGAACCCATCCAGATGCCTTTTACATGTTGCAATTGTACCGGCCTCCATCATCTCATCTGGTAGCTCACTCCATACACGCACTATCCTCTGTGTGAAAAAGGTTCCTCTCAGTGCCCTTTTAAATCTTTCCCCCCATCACCATAAAACTATGCCCTCTAGTTTTGGACTCCCCTACCCTGGGAAAAAAGACCTTGGCTATTCACCCTAGCCATCCCTCTCATGATTTTATAAACCTCTAAAAGGTCACCCTTCAACCTCCGACGTTCTAGGAAAAAAAGCCCCAGCCTATTCAGCCTGTCTCTGTGGCTCAAATCCTTCAATCCCGCCAACATCCTTGAAAATCTTTTCTAAACCCTTTCAAGTTTAACAATATCTTTCCTGTAACAGCGAGACCAGAACTGAATGCAGTGTTCTAAAAGTGGCCTAACCAATGTCCTATACAGCCGCAACATGATGTCCCAACTCCTATACTCAACATTCTGACTAATGAAGGCAAGCATGCCAGACACCTTCTTCACCAACTAGTCTACCACTTGCAAGGAACTATGCACTTGTACCTCTAGGCCTCTTTGTTTGTATTAATTGTATAATTGTAAAGACTTATTAATTGTATAAGTCTTGCCCTGTTTGCCTTGCCAAAATGCAGCGCCTCCCATTTGTCTAAATTAAACTCCATCTGCCACTCCTTTGCCCATCTGCCTATCTGATCAAAGTTCCATTGTTCTCTGAAATAACCTTCTTCACTGTCCACTATACAAGCAATTTAGATGTCATCTGCAAACTTACTAACCATCCCTCCTATATTCACTTCCAAATCATTTATATAAACGTCAAAAAGCAGTGGACCCAGCACCAATCCATGTGACACACTGCTGGTCACAGGCCTCCAGTCCAATAAACAACCCTCCTCCACCACCTTCTGTCTCCTACCCTCAAGCCAATTTTGTATCCAATTGGCTAGCTCCCCCTGGATTCCATGTGATTAACCTTACAACCTGTCTACAATGCAGATTCGTGTTGAATGCCTTTTTGAAGTCTATATAGACCATGTCTACCACTCTGCCTTCCTCAATCTTTTTTGTTGCCTCTTCAAAAAACTCAATGAACTTAGTGAGACGTGATTTCCCATGCACAAAGGCACGTTGACTATCCCTAATCAGTCCTTGCCTTTCCAAATGCATGTAAAATCCTATCCCTCAGAATCCCCTTCAACAAATTACCTAGCACTGACCTCAGGCTCAGCAGTCTGTAGTACCCTGGCTTTTCTTTACCACCTTTCTTAAATAATGGCACCACATTAACCACCCTCCAGTCTTCCGTTACCTCACCCGTGGCTGTCAATGATACAAAAATCCCATCAAGGGACACAGCAATTTCTTCCCTAGCTTCCCACAAAGTTCTGGGATACATCTGATCAGGTCCCAGGGACTTACTTATCTTTTTCCATTTTAAGACCTCCGGCGCCTCCAACTCTGTAATATGGACATGTTCCAAGACATCACTATTATTTTCCCCCAAGTTCTCTAGCTTCCATGTCCTTCTCAACTGTAAATACTGATACAAAATACTTGTTTAGTGTTTGGTTCCACACATAGATGGCCTCATTGATCTTTAAGGAGACCCATTCTCTCCCTAGTTCCTCTTTTGCCCGTAATGTATTTATAGAATCTCTTTGGATTCTCCTTAATCCTATTTGCCAAAGCTATTTCATGGCTCATTTTTGCCCTCCTGATTTCCTACTTAAATATACATAGTAAACATCCATATTATCTGATTCATTCTCTCCTTGTGATAGCAAGTTCCACATTCTCATTAATTTCTGGGTAAATAAGCTCCTCTTCAATTCCCTATTGAATGTGCTAGTGACTAACTTGTATTTATAGCCTTCAATTTTGATCACCCATGCAAGTGGAAGCATTTTTCTACTTCTGCTCCATCAAATCCCTTCAGTATCTTAAAAGATTTCCTTCAAATAACACAGCCTTCTCTTTGACAGTCGAATTCCAGCCAATTCAATCTTTCCTGTTATGTATAATCTCTCACTTCAGGTATCATTCTAATGTATTTATTTTGCACCTTCCCTAGTGTCCCTACATCCTATTTTGTAATCTTGAGACAGGACTGTTCACAATACTTCAAGTTCACAATACTTCTCAATACTTCAACCAATGTTCTATAGAAGTTTAGCACAATCTCTCTGCTTTCCATTTCTGGCTAGGAATGAACATCGATGTCTATTTTTTAAAAAATAGCCTTACAAACCGGAGTTGTTACTATTAACAATGCATGTGTCTATCCCCCGGTTCCCTCTGCTTCTATATCCCATTTAGACATTTATTTTCAAACTAACTTCTGTGCACTTTATTCTTCCCACCTAAATATACTACCTCATACTTATCCATCCTGAAGTTCACTTGCTAATTATACTTCCTTTCTGCAAGATGGCCCAGATGAATAATTGGAAACGTTGTCTACAAATCTTGAAACATTGGTTTTGCTATGATTGCTGTCATATATAATTGTTATCTCAAACCTGCATCTGTGGTGCATGACATGGAGTTGACAGGCCAGCAATATGTGGCCAAGGATTTATCAGCTCTATTAATATGCCATTTTTCAGTGTTTTTAAAGATTCCTTAAAATCCAGGTAGACTTTGATCTGGAGCTATATTGTGGACAATGCAGAGTGCAACCATTGACGTCTCACAAAGTATGTTTAAGCATCAGAATAGGATCTGACTCATGCTGTGGTAGATACATAATTTCAGATCACTTTTCCCCATGGAATTTATTCCTGTCTCAACTCAACTTTCTCTTCCCTTATCCAGGCCACCCTGCTACTTCTAACAGTTTCTAGTTTCATTGTCCTAAATTGATTCCTTTTTACCGTGGGCACCAGTCCTTCTACACCACCAGCCCTCATTGGGACAGTTTTTGTGCCCTCCGGTTCTTCTTGAATGACCCTGTTCCTTGTGGCTGAAGTTGTTCTTAAATTGAACAACATCACCTTTGACTCTTTTCGCTTGGCCTAAATAACAGGTGTTGCTATGGGAAACTGTATGGCTCCTAGTTATGCCTGTCTTTTTGGGAACTTCATGGAACCTTCTTCGTTCTAGTCCTACATCAGTATTTACACACTTTTTTTGATATAGTTAAAAGTTACCTTTCCTGCTTTTTCACCAAACTACAGAAGATATCACCCAATTGGCTCCAAATTTTTACCCCTCCCTTAACTTTGAATGGTCCATCTCCATCTTCCACAATTACATATCTCCTGTTCAGAATATAGACTGTCGATCAATATCTGACACAATGTCCAATGACTCCCACAATTAACTTGTTTGCACTTTCTCCCATCCAACATCCTGGAAGGACTCTCCCAGATTTCGCCACACATGTGCTTTCCATGATACTTTCCATGCCAGTTTTATTTTCCTCAAACAAAAAGTGTTTTCCACTGGAAGAGCATCCCACCCAGACCCCACCTTGTACCCCTGTCTCTGTAACCCTGCATTTCTTATGGCTAATCCACCTAACCTATACATCTTTGAACTGTGGGAGAAAATCTAAGCACTCAGAGTAAACTCATGCAGACATGGGGAGAACGTGCAAAGTCCACACAGTCAGTTGCTGAAGGATGGAATCGAACCCGAGTTCTTGGTGCTGTAAGGCAGCAGTGCTAACCAATGAGCCACCGTACTGACTGTGCCACCGGTTCAGCGGCAGGGATTGGGGAGATGGGGAGGGGGGCACGATACAGAATGTTAGTACAATAGAGATGCAGTATATTATAGTAAAGAAATCAAGATAGAGAGACCAGCCATGTTGAGCTTTAAGGGAGTAAGGCAAGATTGGATTGCCTCTACTTTGATGTAAGAAGTATCATAGGTAAGACAGATGAGTTAACGGCGTGGACTGACAAGTGAAATTATGATAGTATTGCCATGATAGAGATGTGGTTCAGGGAGAGGCAGGACTGACAACTCAAAATTCCAGGATGCAGGATATTCGGGCAAGACAGGGGAAGGTGTAAAAGAGGCTGTGATGTTGCATTATTAA